TTGGAGGAAGAATGGAAAATGTCTTAGAAAACAGACTCACGTGAAGCCAGGCTGTGTGATCTCCCGCCAGTTTTAGTTTACAAAACTCTTGTGGTCCCACACGTGTTTGTTTGAGCTTTGAGTTTTAGGATCACCGTCAGATTTCAGTAACTGCTCTCCCTCCGTCGAGTCCACTGGCTGTGGTCTAGTCGAGGGTGTGTAAATATGGCGATGGGAACAGAAGAGTTTGGCTAGTGGATGTTTGCTCTTTAAGCGGTGTTCTTTTCCATGCCAGTTTAAGCTGAGACCGGTGAAATAATGAAACCACCACTCTGCGGGAGAAGCTGCTTTCCCTCTCTGGGAGGAGAGTTCATGGGGCAATGTAGGAAAATTAAGAAGCGGGGTGACAGTCAGCAGCGTCACAGAATCCAAGGATAATGAGCTTTGAGCTTGAAGGATGGAGTTTTGCAGAGAGGCAGCGGAAGAATGCTGAGAGGGAGTGTGAGATCTGGCCATACTCGCTCTAGACATCCAGGCGTCAGATCATTTCAAGCATTGGGTGTGCTTAATTCGTTTTGGTAGCATCTCAAACATCGAACTTTTCTCCCTTCTTGCTTATTGAGGTAGATATCTTCAGTCCTTCACAGCAGTGTAGGCACCCTTTGCTGTCTCCTTATTCCTCCACACTTTCCACACCTGCTGATCCGATTTTCTCGTGTGCTATGGCCTTCCGTACGTTGTGAGAATTAAATGAACAGTGCCCGGAGTATCATAAACACTCAATAAAAATCACTCTCAAATTTTCAGCCCTTATGGCCCCTGTATATTTTGTATCTGGAAGCGCCTGGAATGTTCCTTGGAATGAAGATGATAGCTTTATTGTTCTAATGTTCTCCCAGAGTGCTTAGGTCAGCATCATGATGTATGGAGTTAAAAGAGATTTGAGAGCCCCGGCTTTACGAGAGACCTTTGATTCTCACCTCAGAGGCTCCTGCAATTATTGGACTTATTAGATTAAGTAGACACCATCAACACAGGACTTCAAAGAGGTACTGGATTCTCTCCCTCCCTCCCAAGGGGTTAAGGCAGTTCTCGGTTTCCTTTCTCCGTGTTTACCCCAAGAAGGGTGCCAGAGCGAAGGCCTTGGGACTCGTCCCATTTCGCTGTTTAAATGATGTCTTCATCTGTTCTGGAAGGAACAGCACTAATCTGCAGCCAAGCCCAAGCCCATTGGAAGCAAGTTCAGTGACCTCCAGCGTGCCTCTGTGGATAATATTTGGGTGTCTTTTATGCTTCTCCATGAAAAGAAAATTTATTGCGTGGCACACCAGGCCAGCAAAATTTTTCAGCAGCTTAATTTAGAAGTGAATTATTCCCCTGAATAGATCCGTTCTTTGTTGGAATACAAAGCGACCTTTTCATGTGTTTCCCAAGTAATCACTCAACTTGCCTCTGCCTGAGTTTCCACTAGTGCCATTTAATGAAAGAAAATGTTCTTTTTCCCAACAGAAGTTTTAGACTCTACCCTGTGACAGCTCATGTTCTGGGTGCCTTTTATCTAAATAATAAATCTGCAACTTGCGCAATCATTCCCAAACTTTAAAGCCAGTTCTCTGTTCTCCTTGGCATAGAATTTAGGTTTGATTTTCCAATGGAGAGATTTGGGTCTAAGAATGTTTATTATATTATAAATAAATAAAGTAAAAAGAGAAAGCCTTGTCTAGGAGTTGAATATGGCATAAATCTATTGTTTATTTAGCAGCCATTTTTAAATGACCTTTAAATTTAAGCCCATAAGTTAAATGAAGGATATATTTGCTCTCTGTGTCATGGTGATGATAATATATTTGTAGAGATGCTTATATGGGATTGGTGGTTTTAGTAGATCTCTTTACAATGCAAAGTAAACCTTTGAAAGGAGTCAGTGTCAAGATCAGAGATAAAATGTTGGTCAATTTCTAAGTGATTTTCTAGTTAGAACTATTAAAAAGGCAATGAAGACCCAGCAATCCCCCTACTGGGAATATACCCAAATCATTCTACAAAATCATTCTACAAAAAAACTCAAATCATTCTACAAAAAAGATACCTGCACATACATGTTTATAGCAGTACAGTTCACAATAGTAAAATCATGGAACCAACTGTGCTGCCCATAAAAACTGGAATGGATTTTTTAAAATGTTGTATATATGCATGATGGAATATTACACAGCCATAAAGAAGGGCAAAATTGTGAACTTTACAACAGCTTGGATGGATTTAAAGTCTCTAATACTCAGTGATCTATCGCAGAAACCAAGAACTGGGTACCACATGTTTTCACTCATGAGTAGACCCTGAACATTAATCACAATATTATAAGAAAGGGATTGGCAGTAGTGAGATACTGCCAGGCTGGAGGGGTGGGGGACACAAGATCTATAAAAGTACCTGATCTCAAACCAGGCAAAATGAAGACCAAAGGGAGGCCCAAACTTGATCTATGTGATGACCGCTTGTATACCTAATCCTGAATTGTACCCCACATCTTTAAAATTAAAAAAGACAATGAAAACAGAACAAAACTTTTTTTTTTAATGTATCAAATATGAAGGGAATTACATATTTCAGAGATCAAGCATGATTGTCATCTTCAGTAAAAAGGACAAATGAAAACAGGTTTACTCTGGAAACTGCCTTTTGCTGATAAGAGCCAAGAGTGAAACTGTTTTGACCAGTTGCTGCCTTGGGGCAGTCTTAGAATTGCAGTAGATTCTCAAAGAAATAGAAGGAATACTCCAAAACCTTTAATATGAGATGTGCTTTTCTTCCTTTTTATTATTATTACTTTTGAGTTGGAATTGTCCAGGTAGAGTGCAGTGACACGATCACAGCTCATCACAGCCTCGACCTCCTGGGCTCAGACAATCCTCCCACCTCAGCTTCCCGAATAGCTGGGGCTACAGGCACGTGCCACCATACCTGGCTAATTTTATTTTTTTGTGGGGATGAGGTCTTGCTACATTGCCCAGGCTGGGCTCAAACTCCTTGGTTCAAGCGAATCCTCCTGTCTTGGCCTCCCAAAGTGCTGGGATTACAGGCGTGAGCTGCCACTTCCAGCCAAAGATATGTTATTGATAAGTCCAGAGTATTGGCTGTCTGGAGAAATCCACTGACCCTAGCCACATCACATGGGAGTGTGACGCCAGCGTGATTGTAAACTCTCTGATACTGAAATGGACTCTGTGCGTCTCCGCCTGCTTCCTGTGGCCCTGCACGGCCCGGAGGCTCCCTGGAGTGGTGTTTCGGGCTCTGAGTGGAATTCTTTCTGTTCCACATTCTGTGAACATCATCAAAACTTTTTGAAAGAGACATTCAGAAGCTATTTTAATGCTGATTGCTGCTTTCTTGAATGCACTTTCAAGCTGATGTGCAAGGGACTTAAATAGAATTGTTGCATGAGCATGGCCACACTAAATAGAGGTCCAGGAAGAATATTTCATCTGTGGTCAGGGAGTTGTACAAATAGAGTCAGAGACTTGTCATCAGCCTCAATGGAAAGCTGGTGCATGACGTACATGATGAATGCTTGTTTTTCAATAAATGCACTGATTTCACAACAAAAGGTACAGATCTACATATAGAAAATCTAAAAAAGAGGACAAAGGGGGAAATGAATTACCATCAATTCTACACAATCATTATTTACTCTTTCACCCTTTTTTCTTACTAACTAAACAAATATTTTTAAAACTAAAAAAATCAGGTGACTTGTTGAAATTATGGTCGTTTTTACAAATGTGAGGTTTTAATATATCACGCATAGAAAGGTATATTTAATTTACCACCCATCCAAAGTGGACTGGAGAAAGAAAATGTGGCACCTATACACGATGGAGTATTGCGCAGCCATATAGCAGCACAGAATCGTGGAATTCATCGCGAATTGGATGGAGTTGGAGGTCACCACACTAAGTGATCTATCAACAAAACAAAGAGCTGAATACTGGATGTTCTCGCCCCTAAGTGGGACCTGAACATTATTCACATTGGTACAAGGGAAGGGACGGCAGTGGATGGGCCCTGCCAGGACAGGGAGGGAGGGGCCACGTGGCACCACAAAGGGTACCTGGTCCTAAACCAGGGCAAGTGAGAGCCAGTGGGAGGTCCGAGCTCCACCTGCAGGCAACCTGCTCGTGCAGCTTGTCCTGACTTGTACCCCATATATCTATAATAAAAGAAAAAAAGGTACATTTAATGTATAATATGACAAAGCTCAAAGCTATACCTATGGATTAGCAAATGATGACTTATTATATGGTGTCTGAAACTTTCTTTTCAAAGTTTTTGTGTTCTGTTCACTTGGTTCTTGTTCAACATAAAGTATAGTGTGAATAAAACATTTAGGCTAGATCTCGGCACCTGGCACACACTATACTGGTGTTTGCTATGTTATTGTTATCACTGTATTTGGTGATATAAATAATCCAAGAGCCTTTCATTTTAAGGGCATCCAGCACTAAAACCTTTTATAATGCCAACTGAAATACATTTTGGAGCAAAATGTTAAATGTAGATATTATCTAGCTAAGTATAGAGGGACACGCAGATGGTAGGAGTCATTTAAAACACCTGCATTCATGAAAACCCATCCATTTTCCATAGTCACTGATTTTTTGCAGGGACAGAAATACTGTTGTTATTTTTCTTGTTTTCCCAAAGGAATTCACTTCTTATTTCCCTAAGAGCATTTTTTTCTCAATCCTTTAAAGAGACAGCCGTTAAATTGTATCGCCTAAGTTAACAGACTACCTTTTGTGGCTGTTTGGGGTGAATGTCTTTTAACGTCCTTAAGAAATCATTTCTCTCCAAACAGGATCTAATTTGAAAGCTGGAAGACACAGAGGGTAGGTTGTGCCTCCACAGCCTCTTCGATGTCGTGTGATCCAGACCCTCCCATCAGACGGGTGGCAAGTTGAGAAGCCTTCTCACCCTCTCTGGTTTCCCTGGTACTAACCCTCAGTGCCTTTTTGTTGTAGGTGGAACACTTCTATGAGTTCCTGTCCTTGCGCTCCCTGGATAAAGGCGTCATGGCAGACCCGACTGTCAACATCCCTCTGCTGGGAACAGTGCCTCACAAGGCGTCAGGTGGGTGGTGGTTGCCTTGGGGAAGGGTGGTCCTTAAAATGCAATGAGGGTGAGAAGATTTCACATCCGAGTGTCATCCATCAGAGGGTTTGCGCCATGTCTTCCTGGAGAGATCTGCTAATTTCAGGACAACTCGACTGCTCTCTTTCGGGCCAAGGAGTAGGATGAGAGCGAAGAAGTCATGGTCTTATAATTTTCTAAAAGCTCCAAAGAGCTCTGGCCCACGCCCAGCTCATAAGTGCTTCCAGACTTTTTTTTGAAAAAAGGAAGAAGAAAGAAACATCCATGGCGGGATATAGCCAGCCGATAAGTGTAGATTAGCAGAACACACTTGGATGTGGCAACGTTTCAAAGGAAGGAATGGGGCAAGTAGGGTAGGTCAAGGCACCTCCCCAGAAGCCAGCCTTGTGTGAGATGGGAAGCGGGAGAGGCGCGTGGAAAGGTGGGCGAAGGGGTTCAGCCCTTCCGGTCGAGTCATCCTTCTTGGCTGAGAAAGCAACAGCACATGGGGTTTGTTTCGAGCTTTTCAGCTTGCAAAGTGCCCACTCATGCCTGGTTTAATTTGAACACCGGGAGGGAGTCAAGGCCAGAACCACAGCCGCCTTTTATACATGAAAACTTTAAGCCTCGTGAAGCTTGACTGATTTGCCCACAGTCAAATATTAGAAACGAGTGGTAGAGTTGAGACTAGAGCCTAGGACTTCTGACCTTTAGAAAGACACAGAGAACACTTATGTTCGCCTGCTAATATGCTTTCTTCTAGCCTGCCCCCTCCCCGCCTCCCTCCTTCCTTCTTTCATTCTTTCTTCCCCCCTCTCTGTCTGTCTTTCCTTTTTCTAGAAACAGAGTCTCGTTTGTTGCCCAGGCTGGAGTGCAGTGGTGTAACCATATCTCACTGCAGCCTGAAACTCCTGGGCTCAAGGGGTCCTCCCGCCTCAGCCTCCCAAAGAGCTGGGATTAGAGGCAAGAGCCACCACCACACCTGTTCTCCTAGTCCTTTTTTAATGAATGTATTTTTACATACTTGTGGTAGTATTATATACTGGCTCTGCATCTTTTTTTTTTTTGCTTTTACATTTTAACACAAGTATTTCCTATGCCATTATAGACTTAAAAGTTGTTTTTAATGTCCTTACAGTAATCAGTTTCACGGATATACCATAATTTGTTCACTCATTCCCTGCTGGGTTGTTCATGCCACTGTTTTTAGAGTTTGCATATGTCACAATGAACTTTCTGTTGGACCTGACAGACCCTTTATCGAGGGCAGAAGCCCTGTTCGTCCAGCCCACCATAGCTCTAACAGCCAGCCCAGCACAGAGCAGACCCTTGGGAAGTGACTGTAGGACAAACGTGTGCCCCAGAATCCTGTTGCCGTCTCGTTATTCTGTTAAAACAGATTCTTCGAAGTGGAGTTGCTAGGTCAAAGGATATGAACTGCGAACTTTTTAAAGGCTCTTAAAACAAATTGCCCAAGTGCCAGATTACTCTCCATAAAGGTTACCATGCCCGTCTGTGCCCTGGCTGGCAGCGAGGGAGAAGGCCTGGCTCCCTGCAGTCTCACCAGCCTGGGTGGGTTATTATTAATCACGCTAACCGCTTTGCTGCCTTGAACAGCAAAAGAGTGCTTCTCACAGTGTTCTTTTCCTTTGATTTTTACGACGTCTGTTGGGGTGCAACGTATTTTCTGGTATCTATTAGACGATGTAAAATGTCTGTGCATTTTTATCCTAAGGTAATTGTGCACTTCCTGTTGATTTGCAAAGCTTGCTACCTATCAAAAGTATATTTACCTTTTACTGCAATTTTTTTCGATTTGCCTTTTTATTTTTTTATTTTTGGGGGAATATGTGGAGAAGAATTCTATGTGGCCAGGCCTTTCTTTTCCTTTGCAATTTTCTCCCATGGCTTTTATGCTTGGAAATCTAATTCCTCCTTCAGAGAGCAGTTAAGTGATAGCGTGTATATGCCTCTAGCATTTTATACAAATTTACTTTGGGAATAGTATGAATGACCTGAACTATTTTTCTGGGTCATCAGCTTTTTCAGTATGAGAAGTTGCATTAGATATGCATTCATTTCACATCAGACTCTTCCACACATAGGATCTGTTTGGGACTTACTGTTTATTTTAACATTGTAATAGTTGTAGCTCTGTGGTATTTTAAAATCATTGATTACTCTCTTCCTTTAAAAAAAAATCTTATTCTTCCAGAAGGATGTTAAAATAAATTTTTGTTAGATGTCAAATAAAAATCCCATTGGGAGCTCATCTAAATCTATAAAGTAATCAGGAAACCAGACACCTTCACAAAGGCCATTTTCAGGTCACGGTTACCTGGCACCGTCGATGGGTCTGCCTTGCTGCATTCCGGTAAGAGTTGAGGACTAAAGCCTCACAGTTTCTTTCTCTCTTTCTCTCTCTCTTTCTTTCTTTCTTTTTGAGTCGGAGTCTCACTCTGTTGCCCAGGCTGGAGTGCAGTGGCACGCTCATGGCCACCGTGGCCTTGCCCTGCTTGCTGGGCTCAGGCGATCCTTCTACCTCAGCCTCCCAGGTAGCTGGAACTACAGGTGTGAGCCACCACGCCCAGCTAATTTTTTGAATGAGGTCTTGCCATGTTCCCCGGGCTGGTCTCTAACCCACAGGCTCAGGCAGTCCTCTCACCTCCGCCTCCCAAAGTGCTGGGATGATAGGTATGAGCCACCGTGCCCAGCCTATCACAGTTCCTTGAATGTCCTGGCCTGAGCACCACCATGGACCCAGACAGGAAGAGCATAGATGTGAGTTTCTCTTTGTCCTCCTGGTGCTGCCCGCATGACCCACAGCCCTCCCAGGGGATTTGCTCCTGGGTGAGATGCCTTGGGGCTCGGGTGAAGGAATGAGTTGGGTTCTGTGGACTCACTCACCTGAGAGCAGCAGCCCCAAGGAATTGGACGTCCCAACTCCCTTCCGACAGCGCTGGTGGGTCTGCAACACCGTGGGGACAAAAGGGACACTCCGGCCACCAGGTTCTTGGACTTGGTCATTAGTCGAACGCATGCCATGTCTCATGGTGCTTCTGTTTAGTCGAAGATAATTTTCTACAAGATTTATCTTGAGCGTGTTTTTTGCTTATCTTTTTGGAAGCAGTCAGAAATGAGTACATAGCATCTTTCAATTTCCATGATATATTTTTGAATTTTTTTCTTTTGTCTTCTTCTGATTAAAAAAGGAGTGTGAGTTCATTGTATCTCATTTAAAGTTCATGAATTAAATGAATGACCCATTATACCTGCTCACCTCTCAATAAGTCTTGTGTCTTTGAATTTCTAATATAGCACTCACATTTGAAGTCTTCTCAGCCTCTTTCACTGTTTGTGGCTAGTAAAAAAAAATCTTGCTGAAATTCTACTTCTTAGAATATTGACATGATTTTGAACCTGTGATGAAGTTCTATCAGGTAGAACTGCATTTTCTAATAATTTAGAATTTTTAGAAGAAAAAGTGGATGGCACTTTGGGTAAGATAAGGTTAAAAAGAACAAGCCTTCTGGGCATGCCCCCCCCCATACACACTTTGCATAGACAGCCCCCAGCCCCATGCACGCACAGTTTTCTGGAAACAGGTGTAGGAATAATTTGCAGAAATGCAGGTGCAAGGAGTTTATGGGAATCTCCTTGGGCAGTTACTCATTCGCCTTGTTAACCTCTCCCCAGGAGAAGGGACGGTACCTTGAATTATTACAAAGTAACTAAGTCAGTGTGTCTTTGTTTCCAAACATCCAGGTAGCATTCATTATTCTGCAGGGCCACTTTATACCCCCAAGCTGCTGGACTTGCTTTTATCCCACAGACTCCTCTTATGACTAAACACGGCATGAAAAAAGAACACTCTTGATCTTTAACAGTTATGAAGTGCCTGCCTTCTGGCATTGGAAGGGAACAAAAACAGGAAATACAAACTGCAGGGTGGTTCCCTAAAAGGACTGAGTTGGGTAACAAAAAACAGTTTCCATAAAGCCAAGACTTGGCCTCTTTGAACAACCCATCTTTGCCACACCATGAAACCAACCCAGCAGTGGTGTTTCTCAGGAAGGCTTGCAGGCATCCAACATCCTGACGGTTTTTAGTTGGTGCTGATGTGGAAGGAGCCATCTTCCTCTTGGTGACGCCAGTGCTTAGTGGAATGTGAAGTCCAGAGTAGGTGCCCAGGAAGCACTTGCTGATGGGTGAATGGCGGGCAGGGCAGGTAGACACACGGATGGGTATTTGTGCTGGACGATGTCCAGTCACATAGCAGTTTATGATCCTGCCCTGCTGAGGATGAGCCCTTGCTGTCTTTCTCATCTCTCCCTTTGCAAGGGCTGTGACCCAACCAGCTGGTGGCTGAGGCGGCCGAGATCATGGGGGAAGAGAGTTCGGTCAGGATAAAGATGCTGTTTATTTAGACATAAGAGTTCATTTCTGTGCAATCAGTTACACATCCGTCTGTACGGGGTGAGTCGTGCTCAGTTTGTGTTAGTTTTTCTGTTTTGTTTTAACCTTGGTTGGGATAATCCAGTCTAGACTGCACTGGAATTCACATCTGACTCAGTTTCTTCTAGCTCTTGGCAAAAATGGCACTCTATTCACAAGTGGGCTGCTGCAAAATACAGTACTTTCCCATTTCTGTTCTTTGAAAGTAAAGAGTTGGCTAAGCAAAAGTTCCCTTTCACGTTTGAGAATTGAAAAATGCTTGGCGGCTCATGCCTGTCATCCCAGCACTTTGGGAGGCGGAGGCGAGAGAATTGCCTGAGCCCAGGAGTTTGAGACCAGCCTGGGCAACTTGGCGAGACCTCGTCTCTACAATAAATCAAAATTAGACAGGCGTGGTGGTGCACACCTGTGATTCCAGCTAATTTGGAAGACTGAGATGGAAGGTCAAGTTGAGGCTGCGGTGGCCGTGAGCGTGCCACTGCACTCCAGCCTGGGCAACAGAGTGAGACTCTGACTCAAAAAGAGAAAGTATATCCATTGTGGAA